AGTAATTAGTCTTTTGTCACTGCAACCACATGTAGTCTGACCAAACTATACATACATATACATCAACTACATACAATATGCATGACACTAAAGATTGAACTCAAAATTCAGCAAATAAACACACTGTAAAAGTCATTTCACAAAATAAATGCATTTTTAAATTGCATAAACACTTACTTAACATCTTCATTTTGTAAAACAATTGAACCACTGTCAACACTAATTGTAACATTAATTTCAATGTTGACTGAAGGTATTAAAGGCTCTGATTTTAAATTTTCTGAAGCACTACATGTGACATCTGCAACATTTGATACCTCCTCTTCAACTACCGGCAAAGCATCCAATGACACTCCTGCTCCTGAGACATAAAAATTATACAACACTAATGCCAAATCTTACCTTCATTTAGCTTTAATAGCCTTAGCACTGTTGGTGAAATATCTGACTGATGGCGTGAATGAGACCGAACAGTTGCAGATAATTTCTCTGTTTCAGCTTCAGTTACACTTCCCTAAAAAAGTAGCTCTTAATCCTTGAGAAAAAAAATTGAACAAATATAACAATAATCTACAAGTTCATAACAGTTTTACCTTACAAATAAATGTACATAAAGCACACAGCATAATATGAGCCACAATTACTATCACATAATTTTCATTAAAGAAAATGTTATAATTTACAGCTTAATTATAATGCATAACGGATACTAGCCTCCATTAAAAGGACAACAGAATGAGAACAAACAATTTCACGTGATGTATTTCTTTGAAAAGACAACAAAATTAACTTACAAGTCTGTTCCTTGGCAAGGTTGAAGAAGGACTCACAGGTTTTTTGTTGAGCCCAGATAGTCCAGCAGTACGAGGAGACAATATTTGTCCAATGTGTTGGAAACTAAAGCCTTTGCCTTTACGAAAAACTCTCCTCAAACCTCTTACTAAATCCATTTCAATTTTGTGAAATGTGTCTTCCTCATACTTTAAGTTATCAGGTGCAACACCAGTTTGCCTAATATCAATAAAATGAAACAAAGTACAATGATATTACAAAATTGCATACAGTATTTCATGAAGAAAGCAGCTGGCCACTACTACAAAAGAGCATAATTTTTTTTAAAAAGATTAAGTACAATTCTAGAGCAAATTTGTAAAATATTAATGGAAACAAGGACAAGTAGGTTTCCAAACAACCAACAAAGATACAAATTGAAAATAATATTCCCATGATGCAAAGTCTACTCTACATTGTACTTTTAAGGTTATAATGTATATACACATAAGAATTACAGATCACTTTGCAATGTAGAGTAGAATTTGTATCACAAGAGCAGAATTTTCATTACATATCTTTGTTGGTCATTTGAAATCCTATTTGTCCTTATTTCCATTACTTTTTCACAAAATTGCCCTGGAATCCTACTTAATCTTGTTTCTTTTAATTTATTGCACTCTTGTTTGTATTAATTCTTTCATAATTATTAATAATATTTCTTTAGTTGCCATTGTGATAATTGTTGATTATACACAAACAATAATTTACTTTATTATTATTATCCTATAGTTATCACTTTACAGCTTTTATGAAAGAGAGTATTGAACAGATATGCTGAAGGAATATAAACTATACTGATAGAAAGTGAAATTAGTACTATAGTCTTGACACCAGTCTTTGTTCAAGAAGCAGAGAGAGTATCCATCTTGGATGATCTTCCCCTGCAAAGGCTGCAATCCTCCATTCCTGTCCTGGTTGTCAAGTTGAATGTTGACATTATCATTGCATATTTATAACATTTTTTTCAAACAAAATATCTAATTGCACTTAATAAAACAATATGCAAGATTAAAACCTTTTCTTAGCTGAAAACCTCCACTAAGTATAGTCAACCGGGGCTATTCCGACATGTTTGGTGGCTAAGTGGTTCATTAATCATTCATAGAATTATTACCACCCTCCTGCTCAACATACCAATTTTTTGACTCCATTTTAAACTTTTCTATCTATTTAGGAACTTATCTACAAAATTTGTAACATTTTTATCTATTTTTACTATTTTTAAAACATTTTTTTTAATGCCACGTGTCACAGGGCTATTTCAGTACAGTTGGGGCTATTTCGACATAGACGTATACGGCAATATACGGTAAAAATTATGGCGAAAAGCTTAGTATACGGATTAAACTTTGAAATGGTGATCAACTCAGTAAACAAAGTGATTAAATGTTGAATAACTTGGATTATATGAATGAAACTATTATAAAAAAATTATTTATAAGTATAGTAGTTACTATTTTAGTTTACTGGCAACCAGTACAGAAAAGTGCTTCATCTTCAAGCTCTTCATCACCCCATTCTCCATACCCTGCACAGTCTTGTGTGACGAAACTTGGCATGACTCACAATGTATCAAAGCCTCATTGTTCTCATCGTATGGTGCATCACAAGCTGGACATTGGCCTTTCTTTTGTTTTTTTTGGAGGTTGTTTTTTAGTTTGTTTTTGTGTTTCTTCTTTTCCTTCTCTTTCTCTCTCTCTTCCCTTTTCCTCTATCTTTTATCAGCTCTCTCATTCTTTTGTCGTTTTTTCTCTTTCTTTTCTTCTTCAGCATGACATACTTTGTCCATCACTTCTTCCAAGGTTAGGCTTTCTCCACAACCAGTGAGAAGTTTTTGGTTAATTTTTGTTGTTCTCTTTGGTGCTGACAAGTGTATCAACTCAGCAAGGAAATTGCGTAGCCCAGGTATGGTACATGTAGATGATTGTATATCAGGTTGGAATAATTGAGTTAAAGGCTGTGATAAAAAAGGTGGTGATGGTGTAACCATTGAGCATGGCGGTGGTTGTGATGGTAGTGGCTGTGATGTGTCTGTAAAGGGTGATTTAGAATATATTGAATGAAGCTCTAAAATCAACGCCACGGGTTTGACAGACAGAAAAAAATATTCCTGTACATGTACCACCATTCCTGTGGCTCCAGCTGACATAATTACAAAGTTAAAGGCAACTCCATTAATCCCATTAATTCTCACTCAATGCTTTAATGTTACTTTGTATTTGCATAGTTTCTTTCCAAACGTAGAGGAGGTCCATGTCTCTCACTGCTAGTGGTACTGTAGCAATTTGCTTTTCAAAACCAGAATCCTTTTATAATTATTGCACATTCCTAATCACTAAACTTTTTCTTCGAGCATTTGTTACAGCTCTTTTTCTGATCTCCAATTTTTCTTTCTCTGTATAAATACGTGGTAGCTACATATTTTGCCTAAATCGTTAATTTACTAAATTGTAATACTTTCTTTTTTGCCCTTGCAATAGCTGCTGATGCATGCAATGACTAATCAAGTTGTCTATCAATAATAAGAACACTAGACTTTCTAAAGTACTGGTAGGGTCAGTTTTCCTACATTAGATTGGATATGGCAGGTGGGCATAAGCTCACGTCCGGTTCAATTTAAAATAATTATGCAACACCTGCTTTGAATATAATATTCCAAAAGTTTACTTTTTGAAAATTGTGACCTGAACCACAAAATTTGAGAAATATAAATTATACTTGACTCAAACAAATAATACCCACTGGGTCATAATCACAAAGGCATACAACAAAAGCTGAAATAATTTCTACCTCATTTTATTAAGCTTTCTTGTTTGTTTAGCCAAATCCCACTCCATAGCTCGCAGAGTCTCTTGCTCATCCACAAAAGTTTTAGATGAAACTGAAAATGCTCGCTTGTGTAATGGTTTTGACTCACCAGAAGCTGAAAGACTACATTTACATAAAATACTACAAATAATAAGTAGACTGACATACAGTTCACTATCAGCATCTTCTAAATCAGATCCAATTATAGTTAAAGTACGAACTAAAGTTGATATGTGACGCCCAATGTCAGTACTAGCATATACATTGATGCCAGACATGTGCCATTTAAAAGCAGTGAAAAGTTTTTCATCTAAATTAGAATGAAAATAGTAATATGCATGCATGCACAGCTAAATGAATAAATACACAACTAAAGCTTACTCTCTTCCAAGTCATTTTTATTGACAATGCATAGTTTGTAAGTCCCACTTGGAACAATACCTAAATGCATTTTACATGATACAAATAGAAAATATATACATGCAGATACCATGATTCAAAAACTTGTGTTTCTTGGGATCTACAGTCCATGTTTTGTGGCGAAAATGAAATTGTTCATCAAATCGAACTAAAAATCCAGTGAATCTTCCAGCAGACACTAGTTTCTTGCTAAAGTTTAGTGACACAAACATTTCCTTAATAGTTAACACAACAGCTGGAAATCCTACTAAGCATTAAAAAGCAATAGTTAAGTGGTACCTCACCTTTCTGGCTAGCATGTGGAGTTGTTTGCTAAAAGACATACATGTATACGTACATATAAGCAATGACAATAATCTTACCAGATGCACTAATGGCATGCATGCTCCAACATCACTCACAGTAATTTGAACAAGCCTAGGCTTAGAGAAGTCAATAGAAGGTGCTTTAATTTGCACAGCTGGTTTAGTTAAGCGACCAACAAATGCTTCAGTGGCTGCTTGAACCTATCACACAAAATAATCCAAAAGTTGTAGCTAAATGTACCTCAGTATTCAGTTGGTGGTGTTCATTTTGCCAGAAGTTGTATACACTTTTACAATTTACCCAAAAAAGAATAGCTGACAAACACATGCAATACATTAAAAAATAAAGTTTTACCTTTTTCAACAGCAGTTGATTGTATATAAAGATGAGGTGAGTAGATTGAAATCAAAAAAATATCCGACATCACTGGTGCCAAATCAGCCTTAGAAGTATTCTGGAGTTACAAAAAATCATAATTTGACATATACTAACTAACATACTTGTTGTAATGTGTTTTTAAAAGCAATCCATGTCTTAAAATATGCTAATTCAACAAAATCATCTTCTTCCTCTTCAACATTTTGGCCTCCCTTAAAATAGAAAAATGAATAAAATATAGTAAACAGAGACCCACTGTACCTGAATACAGCCCAATGCTACATTAATTTCAGTTTCAACTTTACCATGTAATGTAAGGTGACTCTTATTTGCCAGTATTTGAGTATTATGTTGATGACTGACATTGGTAATTAACATTTCAATTTTATTACCAGTTGAAAATCGCACCGCTGTAAGAAGTGGTGTAGACACAGTTATCTTCACGCCCTGACAAAAACAATAAAACAAATAAGCCCAATAACTTACTTGCATTGACAATTTCACCGAGTTAAGAAGAGAAATTAATTCAAATCCAGTATCAGCTGGTTGAGTTAAATTAATAGCATTCAACCTGTCCTGAGGTAATGATTCTCCAATATTCATGAACATATTAAATAATTCATTGGTTTCCTAACACATTGAAAACAAATTGTAAGATAATATTACAATATCAATTTGATATGCAAGTACGATAAATGTTCAAATAAAAGCCTGGCTTCAATAAACACTTGGTACTAATAATCTCCAAGTATAGAATATGCATATTTTACTTAATATAGTTACCATTATCATTATCATTAGAGTATCCCAAATTGCCTAACTAGTTATGCTATGTTCACTGACACTAGAGTTCCAGGTTCAAATCCCAATATTAATTTTCTTTTTTTGTTCTACAAAATTTTTGTCTTGCATAGAAATAAATGCCTGGGCTTTTATTCAAACATTTACCATACATTTATTTATGAACATTTATTTATTTATGAACATTTATTTATTTATGAACATTTATGTCTCAAAGTGAAAAGGAAATAAAAAGGATAACATAATAGTTTGCATGCTAATACAAAGGAAATTATGCAACTATTAGCACTGGCACAGTACATCTATGGGCTTTAAAACCTACAAAAACTAACAACACTGCTTTGACACACAATACACATATAAAGAACGAGACACCGTTGGTGCAATGGCATCGCCAAAAAAAGAAAAAATTAATTATGATTTCGAAACTAAGTTGTCCTATACTTTACCACTGTAGAAATTGAAAGTTGCTTGCTTAGATCAAGAGTGGATAATTATTTAGGGAGAGTGTCTAACGCGCCTATAATCTGTGATACCACAGTGCGTATGTTGACATAGCATGGTGCTTAGCACCAAGCAGCCATTTTTGCGTCATTATATTGATTCCAAGTCAGAAAGCTGCAATTAAGAAACAGCCAACCATTAGAAGAACATATTCCTGTCTGCTCCTGCTTGTTTCTTGCACTGTGTGATCCTCAGAGTGGAGATATAAGTCTTAAAGTATCCTGCATGTTTCAAGCGCCATTATATCATTCACACTCATAAATTTGAGGATTACTGAGATTAACTCCCATGTACTTGCAAAAAACGGATGTAAAGATATGCACTGTGGTATCACAAAATATAGGTAGGTTAGACACTTTCAATAAATAATTATCCACTCTTGCTTAGATATATAGTTATGATTGCATTCTTCATAGCTAGTCTAATTAAGATGTGAGGATGTTTGGGTGTAGCAGCAAACTGAGAGCATGTAGTTGTTACAGTACAGAGAAAATGTGAAATCTTGATTGCTAGAGTAAAATAGTGTCTCTTGGAGTAACTGCTGGTAGAAGCCTGCCTGAGTTTCTTGGACTTCTACTCAGTGCACACACACATTTAGTAAGCCTTATTTGTTCCATTGAAACTTTTGTTAAGTGTCTAAAGTTTATAGGCCTAAGCTACTCTTCCTAAGGACAAATGCCTCAGTTGTGTAAAGTCAAGATATAAGGCATATTACTTTCTTCAAGACAAAGAAAGTTACAAAAAAACACTACATATTTTAAATAAAAGGTTTTGTGTCTCTTTAGAGATACTTAAAAGCCTTGTTACTGGAAGGATGATAAAATGATAGGAGAACCTACCAACATTTGGTAAGATTGTTAGCTTTTGGTGCCTGCACTGCCATCTATACTTGATAAAGCTTGAGAAAGTAACTTTTTCAAGCACATGAAGAAGTTCTCTGTATAGGGAACCCCCTTGTAAAACCAGAAAACTTCAAAGAAAGAGTTGCTTCTGGACAGAATGAATGAATGAATGACAACACACTTAACTACATAGTCCTTGCCCACGCTAATCACTGGCAAGGCCCATAAATCAATCATGCCAGGCTACATGTAAACCTGAGTCCCAGGCTAGTTACTCTATAGTGCCTTGCTTTTAATGATCAAAATTTCTGCAAGAACAGGCAAATGAAAAGTTTGCAGTTGTGATTTATAAAATGCTATTTTTGCATCAGTATTTTACATAATTTAGCATAGTGTGATTTGCTTTTTCAGGAAAGTAGGTAATCAAGAGCAAATAAAGAAACAGTTATTCAATCAAATGAATAATGACATTTAAGAGATCATTTTACATGGAAACAAAGGCATGGGTTTCTTTTTGAAGTCAAACAATATCTTGAGGTAGCATTACTAAGTAGGATTCACCCCCAAACAAAATGGCTACCACAACTTTTGCAGCCTTGCTATACCGGGTAAACGAGCTGTTATGCTCACTACACTTCTTAGGGGATCTTATCTTAACCAGAGGACTCCATTGGTACCACTAGCATGGTTTTAGACTTCGTCTAAGAGGAAAATCATAAATAGGCAAACCAGCCATTTTGTTCAGCCACCATTTTTCCTCTTCATCATCATCATCAAGAAGTAGTCCTGTCAATCCAGTTGTCGGTGTGTATCTCAGTATTGGTAGATGCTACAAGGATAATTCTTATACCAATCTACTCCAACTGTCTATGCACCGGTCCATGTCCCATCAAATCATTCTTCAAGTAAGGAAAAAGTGATACTATGAATGCTGGATCGTAGTACTGTCTTAGCTGCATGCCATTATTTTGTTAATTAAAGGAGCATGTGCTCCAAAATTTGGGTGTGGTTGCGCATCCTCAGATATCTGTAGTCTCATGGGGCCGGACTCAATTTTTAGAATAGAGTCTGGTTTTATACCTAACATCAACTCATGCTTGTCTGGCAGTATTTGGTCGACCTAATCAAATCACTGTTACCATAGTTACATTAGAATCCGCCCACGCACAGCAAGTCTATTATCTAGAATGGAACTAACTGAGCTTTTATACTTTCTTTCTATGACTTAAACTGCTGACTGGATTGCCTTTATCTGCTCTGATGGTTAGACAATTATGCAAGTAAAGAAATGCTTCTAGAAATAATGTGCTTGGATCTGAGATGAAATTCTTCAGTTGCATAATTGCTCTAACTTCAGTACTGCCTAAAAAAGCCAAAAATGAGAAGTGTTTTACTGTTTTATTTTTTCTTGATGTCAGGAAGCAAGTATAAAGTACAAAATAAGTATACAAGCAAGTATAAAATCAGTATAAAAATTAATAAATCCAGAATTATTGTGGTGCGTGGGCGTGTTTAAAGAGATTAACATTCTTTGCCAACGCAAATCAAAACATTGATAACATGAGTCCATATTAGGCATGGCACCAGACTCTTATTCGGTAAATTAGAGTCCAGCTAGCAAGACTAAAGGCCTTTTCACACTGGTCAAAGTAATGCGCATTGATGTGCCTTAATCGTGTTCACACTAGAGTGGTTTTCAATTAATGCGCATTGATGCGCATCACTCTCACTTCACCTCCAGAGGTGGATTGATGTGAAGTGATGCGCTTAAATCAATGTAAACCAATGGCAACAAGAACACAAACAAAATGATACATAACTCAGCTGCTAGTGTAAACAAGATCGATGCGCATTATTTCAGCTGTATCAACAAAGCGCATCAAAGCGCTTTTAAAACTGTGCCAGTGTGAAAAGGCCTTAAGATATCTGCCGCTCTGGAAGAAGCAAGCAATTTCTTTACCAAGCTAATGCTTGGAATCAACTGCAATACTTTGGTGGAGGTTTCTAGCTAAGAGAAGGTACCGTATTTCCTTAAATAAAAGCCCGGGCATCTATTTGCTAAAATGGTATTTGGATCTCAAAAAATATATATAAAAAATTAAAAAAACTTAGGCCCAGAGCGGGATTCGAACCCGTAACCTCATGCTTTTGACTTCTCGAACTTCAGGCATTATCCACTAGACTCCTGAGTCACTCCTAGACTAATGTTGCGTATTTACAGTTTAATTTTATTGCTACTCCGGCGTTTATTCGAATGCGGCTTCTATTTAAGGATTTACGGTACTAATATTACATGTTACTGTTTTATTAATTATGAAATTTTATTTTAAAAAACACAAACAATTACTTACTGTTATGATATGCAATGATAATATGAACTTGACAACAGCCTGGAAGAACAGCAAAAGCGACAGGATTGCAGGGAAGATGAACACTTTCAGCTCACAGCTTTCTCAACAAGGACTTTTGTCAAGACAAGTATTAATTTTACTTGTCATCAGTATACCATATACTGGTTTATTTTTGTGGTAAAATATTCTCTCAAATTTTGCGGTTTGGTGATCATTTGCAAAATTTTTTCACCGTGAAATTCTGCTCTTCATTGCCACGTGGTGCAGTCTGCAAGCAATTCATGAAAATTAATTATGCAAAATTTTAGAAATGCAAGATTCGCGAAAATATACCGGTATATGGTAGTCAATATTCCTTCAGCAATATCTAGTCAATGCTGTCACTTATAAATGCTGTAAAGTCATAACAATCATTATAATTTAAAAAAATTGTTGTTTGTATAAAATCAAAAAGTAATGCAATGGCAACTAAAAAAATATCAAATATTATTTTTAAAATCAACACAAAGAACATAAAAAATTTTTTAAATGAAGGTTAAGTAGGATTCTTGAGCAAATTCGTAAAAAAGTAATTGAAACAAGGACAGGTAGGATTCCAAACTACAAACGAAAATACAAAATGAAAATCCTACTCTCGAGATGCAAATTCTACTTTACATTGCAAAGTGATCCGTAATTTCTTAAATAATAACATTAAAAGTACAATGTAGAGTAGAATTTGCATCACGAGAGTAGAATTTTCACTTTGTATTTTCGTTTGTCGTTTCGAATCCTACCTGTCCTTGTTTTAATTACTTTTTTCGAATTTGCTCTAAAATTGTACTTAACCTTGTTTTTTCTTTTAATTTTTGCACTAGGATTAATGCCATTAGCAATGGCAAATACATTTGTAATGCCAAACACTTCAGAAATATGTGTACCACTTTGTCGAGTGCTCTCCATACTTTCGATTCTGATTGGAAGAAATAGATTTGTTACGAAATTTCTTGTTTTGTCATTTAGTGTTTCACATAGTAAAGCAATGATGCTATACATGTAGTTCTGTACTTTAACTACTAAAATCCAGTGATTAGTATTCAATTTAGCTTCAACACTGGTGATATTAATACATTTATATAAGGAAATTGTTTCTCCATGAGATATGTCAATCAGGAACTTCTCTACAGTCTCCACAGCCAAAATATCTTCACTTGCAAGTTCCCAGCACCTCCATTTTTTGTTTGTGGCTTACAGGTTTGTTCTTCAGCGTCAAATAAACAATGTACCTTCCTACTTTTCAGCTCTTTATCATTAACAGTGTCATCAATATGTCTTCTTGCTTGAATTCTTCATGAAACTACATGTAAGCTATTTTCACAAGATTTTTCCAAGTTCATGATGAGCGATTCCTTACCTAAAAACTTTATTACCAGAAATCCTTAGGCCACCTTGGGGCAATCAGCATAAAGAAGCATATCCGAGCAAGCACTTTGAAAACTATGCTTCCACCTCAGCACATAAACTTTTAGCACATGAGTGAATCTTTTGGTACATGTTTTACAATATTCAATCTTTTCTTCATTGCTTAATTCTTTTCCACAACATAACTCTTCTCTTATCACACATAAAAACCCATATCTTAAGACCTTTTTGTGTAGCTAGAACAGGCATTGTCACTTCATGTGGTAGTACAAAGCAGGCACAACATGGTAGTTTTAAAATGTACGACATAAATTATCAATCTGCAAAAGTTAGTTCTGTAAATTATGCAACAAATCACCTGCAGCAGCAATTTCAACTCGTCTGGATCCTTCTCTCTCCATCATCTAAGATCTAGCCGGTACATAATGCAAACCAGCCTGGTCCCAATTTACAACTAACCAGCTAGGAATGTTATTCACATCCACAACAACTTTGATGTCAAGGAAAAATAGTGCCTTACGCTCTTCAAAGTTTTAAAAATATTTTTATCCGTAATTGTGCCTTTTAATTTTCTTTTTACAAAATACATTCAGGTAAGTGTAATGTTTTGCTCAATGACTTGTATGAGCATTGTGACCACAACTGTAAGCAAGGAGATTGCATGTTATCTGCTTCATAATAACTTGCTGTCAAAATAGCAATAGCAGTATCAACAATAGCTCCCTTACTTTGTAATTCTTGTAAATATCAACTCACTGCAAATTTTAGATCTTCTTGTAAAATAATGGTCCATCAGTTTTCTTTCCTAGTAATTCATTGATAATCAAGCTCTCCTTATGTATATTTCTACACTTGAGCTCTGCAAGGTAGGTGGCTTTCCATGTATGCACTCAGTTTTTTTCAAGTTTGGATACTTCTTGGCAAAGTGTCAAATCATTGAAGAAATTCTGTGTTTCAAGGCTCTCTTACACATCTTTTTTTCCTTGTAAAATATTCATGAACTCCCCTCTTTTTTTATTTTCCTTCAACTTACATCACCACTGTTACCTCTGAATTTGCAGCAGCAATCAATGAATCTTTTTGGATTAAAGACCAGTTGCATTAGGAAGATCAACAGAAACAAAGCAACTCGACTAGGCTCATCTTTCTCATATACAGAGAAATAGAGTGCCTTACAAGTTGCTTGACCCTGCAAACTCATTAATCACAATACTTTCACCCAACTAGCAATAATACATGTTACATGAGCAAGAAATGAGAAAACTGGGTCAAGCAACCTGCAAAGCTCTGCACTTGAAAAGCCGCTGCCATTATTGAGCTCTTGTATTAGGTACGCGATGACGATACTATTAATAATAATTGGTAAACTAACAATATAAATTATAACTTTTGCAGAGGCTTAACTTTTGCTGCCAGCTAATCCATAAAAACAGAGAAAGTTTTGCCCCTCAAAAGTAAAGCACTATACAGTATTTATCAAACAGTATCACTTCATTAACCTCACAACAATTAACCTCACAGGAAATTTATAAGCTACATGTACTGTATATACATGAAGTTAAAATAATGCAATCTCCGATCTCAGTCTATTACAGCTACAATTATATACAATAGGTACTATGATCCATTTTTTAATCAGAATAAATAAAAACTATAATCCAACCTTAATGAATGCTGATTGGAGAATTAGCAACTGATTCAAAACATTTGTAGTTACTTCAATAACTACTTGTTTCACAGATACTTCCAGCGTAACACTAGGTAGTCTGCTATGAGGACGAGGTGTGACTTTTCCCCTTAATAAAACAACTGGTAATGGAATAGGTCTCAATGATAAGTCATCTTTATACTCCTAAAAAATAGGATATTGTGAACAGTTTAGTGCTTTATTTACCTTGGAATTAAATTCCAATTTATGCTGTCCTATGGATAAGACAAGTTTTATAACTGTAGTAGATCCAATCTGAGCAACAACAGGTGCAATCTATCAATCAATTCAAGTAAGTAAACTCAAGATGCAAATTCTTGTAATAATTCTACAAAAACTTACATCGTATGAAACCATTAGTGATGGTAATGGCCTTACAATAGTTTTAAATTTCTTCAAAAAAAATAATGCGGAGCCTTTTGGAATATGAGGAGGAAATTGCAGCTCAGCTACACTAACAGCAGGAGTAGCCCCAACAAATCCAGCATCATCAACAAAGCTAAAAATATTGAATGATAAAATCAAACTCAAATGAAGTATTAACCTGTCAGGTGAAGACGCAAAAATTTCTTCATAAATAGCTGAAAATGTTGGAATATACTTGTTCAATTTTTTATGTAATACAATAGGAGGTTGCTTCATGTCAAGAAGAATTCCAGGAAACCGAACTAAACATCTATAAGCTGGAGCAACATATTCTTTAAGGTAACAAATGCTTGTACAGAATTCCAAATCTTCAGATATCAGATTACCAAGGTCCCTATACAATTGTCAACTTAGTAAATAAGCAATTGATATTGTTCATATTAATTTAACATTAACAAAAATTATTAACAATTTTAATATTAAAATTATCCCTAATTATATCTAATATCTTACTTGTTGGAAATTGCATGATCTTGTGCACTCAAAACAAATTTCTTTAAAGTACTGGCTAAGGAAATATACGAGGGAAGAACCTTATAAGAAAGGGGTGCATGAGGATGACTCTGCCAATTTTTAGGAGAAACAGTCCGACAGTCAACAGCTCCAGATATTTCATGCATTTCACAAAGTAAAAGAAAGCTTTCTATGCCCACACATACTTGAATATTGCTAATTTTTACAGAACCAAATATGCTAAAATCGAGATTACTTTCATTTATATTAAGCATGTCCTTAATGCCTGGACTGATTGACAAGTCAAGCTGTTCATTTTCAACAACATCATTTGAAGACATTTTAAGTGTGGATTTGCTGGCACCATAAGTTGCCATGCTACTCTGAACAGGAGCCTCAGGATCAGATGAAAAAAACTGTGGACTATCAGTAGTATCTTCAACAACATCTGCATCATAAGGGCTTGAAGAAGAAAGAAGATGACTATTAGCTGGCACTTCAACAGGGGAATCTAAGTGTCCTGACATTGAAGAAGATTGAGAGAGATCTAAAGGGTTCACATGTATCTCAGAAGAACTTTTATTAGGGTTATTGCAAGTCTCAAATTGTTCGGAGACCAGACTAATATCTGTTTGACATGATGACAGCGCAGATCTCTCAAGTGCACATAAGTAACTTGTAAACTCCGTCACATTACTTTTTCTGTCACAAGTAAGTGTCTCTTCCTCATACTTTCTCACTAATAAAAGAGTTACTTCAAAGTCCACAAAAATATCTTTTACATGACGTAAGCTTTGAGCAGTATGTCGCACAACTACTAACAGAGGAAGGGTAATGTGACAAGCTAACGAGTCAAAATTTAAGCTACATTTTGATACAACATTATACTTTGAACTTCGATGTGGGCGTTCACTTTGTGGCACAGTTACAACATAATTAATCTTTCTTTCTAAATTACACAGCTTAACAACGTAGTCTAATGAGCCAGAAACACAAAAATGTTTTACTAGTAGTTCTGGATGTTTTAAATTTTCATCAAGTGGACTAACTTCATTATTTGCTACTATTAGAGACAATTCATTTACTCTCAAATAATAGTCAATGTTTAATTTAAAACTGTCTTGTCCACTTCTCATTACTTGTGATGTAATTTTCATGCCACAAACTTTATATACAGGTAACAAGGACTCACGAAGTAAAACAAAATGAGAGTAGCTCATATTTTTTGAATAATTTTTATAAGATTTTCCAATTTGATCCAAAAATGCTACATTAGGAATCCCAAGACCTGATGGTGACGGACTAATGCTATGATAGCTACTAACCAATGGAGCCTGATAAGATGATATTTCACCACCGTCTCCAGAAACATGGCATATCTGGTCAGACAAAACCACTAAAGCAAGGGACAAAGAAATTGATATGATTTCTTTATCAATCATATTGCTTTTGACACTACATCTTTTAGATTCCTTTTTTGCCTGTGGCAAACCATTCCAAAGCTGCCTCAGCAATAAAAAACAAACACAGTTCTGGACAGCCAACGATTCTTTTGTTAACAAGGGGTTCAATACCTGTGGAATAAAATATTAAATTCAAGGAATCAATATCTAAAAAACTAAGTTTACATCAAAAATATTAAAAGGTATCGCTTTACCTTTCGATTCACTGAAGCTTCTTGGGCACTTCTCAGAAGCTGCAAAAGCAAATTTTTTTCAAAAATGACTTTATTGATCTGGGTGTTTTGCAAATTTTCAATGATTTTGTCAAGCATTGGTTTCCAACCTCGAACAAAAGTTGCAAAAATTGCTGGATCAACAAATATATCTTTTTCATTTGCAATACCATGAGACGGTTTTCCAACTTGCAATTCGATGGAGGGAAGTTTGACTTGCAAAACAAGACTATTGTTAAAATCTGAATCTTTAGTTTGATAAATAGCAGAAACATCTAACAAGTGACTCTCAATATGATCCCATGTCAAAATAGGGGTGATTTTTCTATCTAATTCAGTAATTAATGCAGCAACAGTCACATTTAACTGTTTTAATCTCCCTTCACAAATATCAATCATTCTTGGTAGATGGCTGCTAGGTGGCATAACAGTACTAAAATTTAATGAGCTGTTCACTGATGATATGCCTTCTTCATTTAAGTTATGCACAAATAGTCCCAACTCTAACACTGAGATGTTTACTTCTCCAGCCACTTTATGGCACACTTGAACATCACCACCATTGTTGCTTTCTTTACTATTCACATGTCCTTCACGATACAATAAAGAATTTATCCCTATGCCAGTAGAATGAAAGGTAAGAAAAGAGCAGCAAATGTTATCATTTTTTCTTCCAATATTTTTACATGGAATAGAAATAGCATTAAGAGCTTGCAAAAGAATATGTGACGTAGCACTTGTATTGACAGAAAAATAAATCAGTGGCTGATCTTGATGAACAGCTAAATTTGGAAGTTTTTTAGAAGACTCTAAATCAGATTTAACATTCCAAAGTGTCTGAAGAGAAATAACATCTAAAAAAGACTGCAAACAGAGCGTACTCACAAAACCATTTACACAGGAAACATACCTAGTACAAGAACAAGTCAGTAAGACAGTATAATTTAAAATGATTTTACCAACAATGTCATTTTCAAAGGTCCATAATAAAATAGTAAACATTACTAAACAAGGACATTACTTGCAACACATGAATAATATACATGACGTACATGTAAATACCCAAAAACATCAGAAATCCCTGATCATAAAATAATTATGATCATAAATACATGTACATGAACATGTATGTAGCAGAACTTACTGATTGATCAAAGCAAGTAGAGGTGGGGAGATAACTAAGCCAATGTTTCCAACTAATGTCACAGAGACAACATAAGCAGACGAGGTCTTATCACTATCTTTGCCTGATTCTTTAGAGAATTTACAATCATTAGATACTTCATATTCTCCACTGTAGCATATGTATGGCAAAACTCCAACATTAGATTCAATAATTTCAGGAAAATCTATGGTAAATAAGGCCTTTCCTTGACTTTTATTTTTACTTTTCTGTAATTTCTTGCAGTTTAACTGCAATAGATTATTGCAAAATAAATATTTATCTAGAATTTGCCAGTACAAACTCAAAAAATTGTCTTTTTTCTTTTCCACAATATCATTCTCTTGGATCTCATTAGAATTGTCTACTCTTGTTGCACTCGTTGACCCACTTGGAGAATTTTGTAAACTTGCAAAATGTTCGTCACCTGAGAATGAATCAGACTGAAAACTAGACTTTGCTGTGTCAAAAGAAGCCTCAGAATCACGTGACACTAATTCATCATCATCATGCTCTTGTAAATTCATACTACCACTTCGCTGTAAGTCAGCAAAACCATAGTATTTTAGAATACAGTTATGCAAACATTCGAGTGAAGGGACATTATCAATAGAAAGATGCAAAGGAATCTCAGGCAAAGATCGTGGCGACCTGTTTATAATTGGGTCATATTTAACTTTTGCGAAATAACGACTACTGTGTGACACTGGCAAATAATCCTCTCGTGAAATACAGCCATCCAGAAATTGGCAACCACCACAACAGCCACAGGTATAACAGTTATCCCAAAGGAACCATAATCGATGGGATAAGTCACTCAGCTTTAAAAATGATTTTTGTCTATTTGAATCAGCTTCCAAGGGTTCTCTTAATGAAAAGTCACCTTCAATGGCACCAACATCAAAACAAGCACATTCACAATACACTCCTGAACATTCTGGTATTTCAATTAAAAAGGAGGCATTTAAACTTTTCAGGATTGCAGAAAGTGAAACTGTCTCGGTACCCTGATGTAAATTACAAAGGTCAAGACCAAAACCTAGTGTCTATTAAAAAAACAAAATACAAGTAAAATTTAATACTAATTAAGATAATTCAAAGCTCAAGAATTAAAACAAATAAATAAACTGATACTATACAGGTATGCTTTTAAAGTACATTTACATGTACATGCATATTTACATTGAAGAGTCACGGAGCGCTATAACAGTACTAAATAAAAACATTAACTTCTATTTACATTCCATTGTGGGCATGTTTCACAATGGTTCATGTTGATACTTAAGGCCTTTCTATACTTCAATGCGGTTTGAACTGATTTAGAACTAATGAGCAAGTGATTCTATACTAGATCTTGTATATTTTAATAGTATTTCTGATCCATTAGCCACTGGTTCTACACTGAATGTGCATTCAAACCACATATAGAGGTGGTTTGAGATAAAGCACATTGAAGTCAATTCACATCAGGTACAGGTTATGACTGAAACCAGTTCAATGCACAATAGAAGTGCTAGTGCAGAATGGCCTAAGCACTGTTGTTTCCTTGGTTCTCTTTACTCCACAAATACAACCATGCTCATTCTTGACTGCCTGGAATACTACTGTCATACCAGTAGCCAATTTCAATTATGTCACAAAATTAATAACAATAAGAATTTAGTCCACAGTATCATTATTACAATTCCATTGATAATATTTTCTAAAACTTGTATAACAATAGTCACAAGTAAAAACTAATAATTTTAAAGATTGAAGCATTATTCTTGTCTACTAAAATTTTGTGCAATGGCAGCAGATAAATAATATTCAATGCTTTATGAAAAAAAGGTCAATGCCAGTAGCAAATAAGACAAAACACAACAATGTCCAAACAAGGACACTATCACTACAAGTATACATATGGCCAGAACTGTAATGTTAAAGTAATCCAGAACTGTGTATGCAGTCATCAGCCATCACGTACAAGTACATAAGTACAATACAGTACGTCCTCCATTATCTAAAAACCATTGTGCACTTTTATTTTGAAAGTTAATCAGAGAGCTGAATAGTCCAGATAAGTAATACAGTAGACCAACCTATCTTATACTTTTTGAAGAATAAATGTGTATCATTTTCCTTTCTCTAACTGGCAGAGCATTTCAGGCTTCTCTTTAATAGTCTTCCTCTTGGCTAAGCTCATGCTGCAATAGCCATTTTAACCAGTTATTAATAAATTAACTAGTCTGAGCATGTGTAATTGCATGCGCATTAGAGACCAAATAAATGAGGGTTCAGATAAAAGGATATACTGTAATGCATTCATTTCATACCTGAATTTGAAGCATTGTATCAGCTTCTTTCAGAATTAAATCAATTGTAGCAACTTCTAAAACAAACATCTTGTACTTTAAAAGTTCAGAAGATGGTTCTACCAGTGGCTCAATCAATATACAATCAGGGGCCTCCAGAACAGCATCAGCTGGACTAATCACATGACTAAGAGCAGTCAAAAAATAATGTACAACAGGAAAGAGCTACAGTAAACAAAAAGTAAAAAACAACAACTAACGTAGTTAAAAATCATTAAATAAAAGATGTCATAATGGTCCACAGGAAGATTTAGTACCATTTGGCTACTAAATCTTTCCTATAAATCAGTGGAACATTTTCAATAGTATACAGGTAGCTGCTTTTAATAAAATCTGAAATTTAGTAAGGCAAGAAAATTGTAATAGAGAGTTTTGTCACTCAATCTCTCCTATGGTACAATTGGCACAAAATATCATATACATGGAATATTTTCAAGCCTTTATTACTTAATTTACATGTTTTTAATTTAATGATACGATCTACTAAGCAAAATTTCAATCTCATTATAAATATCTATGGTATAAAGTAAAGATCAACGTAGAATAACAAGCATCGCCAATTAACTCACACTGCCAAGTTGCATTCGACAATTTCATGTACATTGCAAAATCTGGACCCTTAATATTGAAGAAGTCTCAATTGGTGAAACACAGCCATCAAACATACTACAAAAGCTCGATATGCCCAGATTTAACATGAGAAGCTCAAATATCTTAAACTGAAGGATGTATGTTACTATGTTTAAGCCTAGATTCTATTTTAGACAATTTACAGCCTTGATCCACCTTTTCAGGACTAACATTCCTTAAGAAGTAGATCTAAAGAGTCTTAACCACTGGTTTTTTCTCATCAGAACTATAGTATCCAACAATACAACAGTCAATAACCATTAACAGAAGGAAAAAATGAAGAGCAGCTGAAAAACCAGTCAACTTAGGTGCCAGCCTCACTTTTCTGTCCCACTAGTAGACCTGGTTTTCATCATCATGACGGGTTGATGACTCATTAATTTTAATGAATATTCATTGCGGGAAAGGTTTATAGGAACTAAATAACAACAGTATATTATACATGTACAGAACCACACCAACTGAAAGACAATAAACAGCTAAGCAAGGGATGGCAACAACAGCTTCAATAAACATACATAACAAACTGACTCATCAACATACATGTACATGCTGCAAACAACTACAGGGTCTTGGCATGGATTAAAAAAATTTGTTATAACCTGGGAGCTTTAACCCATGTTGTTAAAATACTAAGTTAAATAATAAAAGTTAAAAACATGAGTACCTCATTTAACGAAACAGAAGCCGATACAGCACCAATATTTAATTTCATCATCCATGCATATTCTACACGTTCTTTTAACAAAATTTCTGTAAGGCCATGACAACAAAAGGTTACTCCAGAAAGTGCCACAACACCAAGCTTATGTTCTTTCCCATCAACCTAGCAAATGAAAGTTGTGAAATCAAAATTGTATAAATTCAGTTATTCTATTTAGAACTATTACTATGCATCATACATAACATACTAAAAAAGGTAAATGAACAGTAATGGGATCCACTGTTAGTTTAACAATAGTTTCCTGTCTTTTGTACTCCACATAAACAGACAAACACTCTGAATGAGCTGAAGGCAATGGAAATTCATCACAAAAATTTTCAGGATAGTGCTATACAAAAAAAATTATGATCATTTCTTCTACTTTCTCACTGTTGGAAATTCTCCAGTAACCCTTTGCAACTTGAAATTAACAATAACTTCAAGAAACCTCTCATCAGTAACAATTTCAGAATGAACAGAATCAGTAGCATCCTTTGTTTTACTTAAACAATCAGGTAGAGCACAACTTCTTGAAGAATACGTCTTGAAATACATATATTCACCTGGATAATTTTCCTAAAAATTAATGCACTTGACAATGTGGTAATAATAAGCAAGTAAAACCTTTAATGACAAAAGGTCCCTTGCAAGAGTACCAAAAACCCGTAATAACACTTGAGGAGCATTAATATCTATCAGAACTTGACTTGGAACCATATCATTACTGGATCCAACATGTGACATATCAGAGTTATGACCATTGTATGTTATGTTAATTGTTATCTCTGGACCACAGCAAATATCTAACCATCCATCTTTGTAAAATGTAGTCAAGCAGCAACCCATTGGGAAAGATTCATTTCCATTTTGTAACTCAGTGTTTTGCTTATCATAATCAAAATCATGTTTCATATACTTTTGAGAATGTGAAACAAGTGGTTCACTGCCTCGTCTACGATGTGCCTTTTTGAATGATGTAGTACCCTTTTCAATATTACGATCAACTATATTAACTTCAGCATCACAAGGTTTAATAGGTTGACTAGCACTCCGTGTCAATGAATAAACTGGATGTAATTCAGATGGATTTATAATCCTCCATCTTTTCTTATGAACGGAAGAAAGAGCAAAGACACTTTCTTTAGACACAGATGAAGGAGAGAAGTAACGTCGCACAACAATATTCTTTCCCTGTACATATTCATAAATAAATTCACTCAACTAACTACTAAAATAACTTGCTAACATGAGCATGAAAAGTGACTTCTTGTCTGTCAGGCAAAAATTCAGTAAAAGGTAGATCAAGTGATAGGTGACCTGTCTTGCCACAAACAGCTATTCGCTCTAAAACAAAATTTTTAAAAAGATAAATTAATTTTATAAATACAGCAAAAAAGTTTCTAATCAAAGTACTGTATGTTAACATTAACATGTACAATGTACTTTGATATCATGTACATGTTGCTCTATAACACTTCCCACCATTTACTATTTAGAAACTAACCATTTTCAACTTCATCAGTATCAATCCAATTGTAACGATTAGTAAAAAGAAAAATCTCATACTCCGACATTTCTACACCAATATGCCACTGAAAAGGAACAAAATCCAAAATATCAATAGTATCAGATTGGACCCAGTCATCAAGTAACTCATTAAAAAAATCAATGTATGGAAATAATATGTTTATCTGAGGTTGATCCACCAAGAACTTCATATGCCATGCCTGAGTACTGTTCCACACACGAGGAAAATGTAATGATGAAGATAACTATTAAATTTTAGATGGCTTAAACTCAAAGTCAAATTAAACATGCATACAGCATACATTAACACAATGAGCTTTCCCAAGAGGTTGGAATGGCAAACTTGTCAATACTTCCAAGTCTGTAAGCTTGCCACTAAACTTTGTTGTGTAACCATCATCCTTTATCACCCAAGGTTGATGAATAAGCAACTGACTTGCACCACTTACAGAAAATGATAAGGATTGTGGATCCTATTGTTAACATGATTACAATAACAATACATTCTTTGTTTCTCACAGATTTTCCTTGAAATTCAAAATGTAAAGTGGCAGGACTAGTAACAGAGATTGAAACATCAAATGATGTATAAACCCTAAAGAGAAAAGTCATTAAACATCAAAACAGGTATGTAAGTACACATGAATTTAAAAAGAAGACAAATATTGTCATTTTCTTCAAATAATGTAACATTACACATTTGTATTAAGAGATACTTTACATTTACCAGGTGCTAATAAAAGAGCAGGGATGTCATGGAATTTACGCTCTTTCCTAAGCCAAACTTCACATTTTGCATGTGTGATATAACAAGCAACAAATATAATACAAGGAACAAGGAGAGGACAATCAAGAACAAACAGTGGTCATGAGGACAATCTTATACCAAATTCGGACACATACTATAAAAAGTCATAAAATGGGATATTGTTCCTCAGTATATTGGCATAATTTAGTGCCACTGGTCACTAAATAGCTTTTAAATACTTGTGTCTGTAGCATTATTCTTGTTACTAATGAAACTGCTATCTTAATATTGGCTACAGTTAAAGTTAGTCATTAAATGTTTCCTATAGTATTAGTGCCAAGATTAAAAATGTTTCTAATAGTTTATTATTAATAGGGAAACTTTAATGCATGTGTAACTAAATGTCTCTTATAGTACTATAGTGAAAAAGCAATGCATCTATCATTAAATGTTCCCTATAGTGAAAGTGGCCAAATTTAATTCTTGTATCATTAAAGGTTCCATATAGTAATATTGATCTAACTGAATACACCCTGCAGCTGTGAACCTGAGCATTACAGAAAACTACCGTATACTGGGAAATTTTTCACGGCGCTAAATTTTCAAGAAACAAAATTTCACGAATGGTCCTATAAAGCCCACATGGTCTCTTCCTGTGGGTGGGGTTAGAGGTGTGGTAGAACTCACAGCACGTGTAAAGGCATGGAGGAGACAGCAGCTTAAACTTCATTTACCATGGATTCGTGTATGAGAGGATTTCATATCCCAACTGAGTTTGACACCAGTAGTGCTGGGCAATATATCAAAACTCACGATATTTAATCGATATAATGCGGTATCGATACTTATCAATATTGAAAAAATTTGAAGGAAATATCGATAATAAGACCACGCCCACAAAATGATTACATAACTTTAATAAATGGTTAATTAACTATAGGAGTAACATCTCAAAAATTACTAAAATGTATTTTCTTGGAAAGTAGATGAAGTAGCCGAACTATATGAAGCCAAAGAATGTTTTATAATGCTTTTCAATAATAATTGTTCTCAGAAATAGCTTTATTTAGCCGTTTTAGTAATATTAAAGTTAATGGGTGTGGCTTAACAACTTATCGATAAAAAATATCGATATCTTCATTTTTAAGCAATATCGTATTATATCATATCGTTTCAAAATTTTCAATATCGCCCAGCACTAGACACCAGCCGCTTGGAATTTGAAAAATGTAGCCATACGTCACTAATGACGTCTTATAATGATATTCATAGCAGCATGGCCGACATTTTACAGCTGCGTGGTTCAGTGTGGTTGGCCTGTATTTCACTCTTAAATGGGTTTTGTTTGTTCTGATAAGCAGTACAATAGCTGCTGGAGTCAACTAGCCTTCATATTTCATATTGGCCCATTATTATCAGAAGATCTAGCTCTGTTAGCTTTTTAAAAGAAGAATTATCAGTTTGGGCGCTCATAAAACAGCCGAGTCGCAGAGGTGAGTAACCGGAAGCGTTTTATTTTCAACGGAAGTGGGCATGCCATGTAAAATGGCACCTAATGAGCTGTAGGCACAAGGCTCGGTAGAAATGACTGTTTGGAAGATAAAGAAGGACAAAACGAACTATTTTTATCTAGTATAATGATTAATAGTGTTTTATATATTAGTAACTTCAATAATTGTAAGTTATAATACATTATGAAGGCTTATTGTGAGCTTTTTGCACATATTCTACAGCATCATTCATGCGCTCTTAAGATATTAAACTTTACTTTTCCCTGGACAGTTATAGCTTTTGTGAATATTGATAGGTTAATAAATTTGCTTTGCATTTATACATAACAACAGTGTATTATACCAAAGAGCCACATTTGTGCTCTTATATAAGATCATTAATTTTATATCAAAACCATGTTAAAATTATTGTATACATAATGAGTAGTGACTAATGAGTAACAATAAGAAGTTGATGATATTATACATAAAGTTGTTTGATTAATGTGTGTGTGTGTGTATTTATCTACTAATTTACTGTAAGTATATTCAACATGAACATGTACATTATAAAACACTATAGTAATGAATCATCAAAGATGTCGATAATGTTGTCATCCATACCATCAGTTACTATTTCAGTTTTCACAGTATCTTCAATATCTGAATATTCTGATTCGCTCTCAGATACATCTTCATTGCTATCCTCATTTGAATCTGATATAGCTGTGTTTGAGCAGTTGATGCAGTAGCAGCCAGGACCACAAAAGGTATTACCTTTCTTGCATCGACACCTTGCACTAGAACACCCTGTCTTACACTTACACCCATTCTTCATATTGCTTAATTTCTGGCTAATTAATGCTTGCTTTTCAGGATCTTCCCAATC